TTGGTCATCATTGAATGTGTGAGGTATATGTGACCAATATTAAAATTTTGTCATAATTGTAATGCATTATAGTGATGATTTTTATCAACAAAAACTTATTTTATCTGTATGAATATTTTTTTTTTACGAAATATATTTTCTATGATAAATTTTTTTGTTTATCATTAAATATGTATGCATCTATGACTATTTTTTTAGATCTATCACAATTGTGATAAGTTATAGTGATGATTTCAAATTTCATCACAAATTTCTATCACCAAAAATCATTTTTCTTGTAGTGAGATAACCATTTGCTTGATGGGATTTCCATTGCTGCCGGAGCTGCTGTTCTTTCTTTATTATTTTTGTTTTTTGGATTTTTATCGGGGTGGATCTCTGTCATCTGTTCTTTCTTTTATTGACTTTCTGATTTTCCATTATTCATACGTGTGTAGATTCGATTGAGAACATTAGGAACATCCAATTCCATTATTCATACAAAAAATTGTTCAAATTGCCTAACATAAGGAAAAGGAAAATTTATTCATACACCCTTTGCTCTAATATATTTTTCAACTTTTATTTAATGTAGTTATTAAAATTTAATATAAATACAATTGATTCAGTCAGTTCCTACATGTTTGATACATGATTGTATATTTAAATTTATCTATCTTTAATTTTATGTCAAAAAATAATAATTTTTTAATTAGTGTAATAAGTAGTATGTTGAACTAGAAAATATATCTATTAATATCTATGATATAAATCACTGAATAAGGTGAACTTCTTGATATTGGGACTGCCCTGTTCATGTAGTTATTCATAATTTGCAGTTTGTGGTAAAATCTTCACGACAAAAAAACTCTTATTCATATGTAATCTATTATTAGTAATGTTTTTGGGTTGCTTTTGAAGGAGAAGGGGAAATGGAATGTTTTTAAGTAGCTAAATTGATGTTTTCTAAGTTGTTATTATTATAGTGAAAATGTCTTGAAAATTAAGTGATATCAGTATATATAAGGGTAAAATAATAATAAGAATAATAAAACTTAAAAAGTCAAGCTATTTATAAAAATTGGGTAATACTAATATACATCAACTTATTTAATAATATATCAAGAATTTAAGTTTACATAATATTGTGACTATAACATTACTTAATTTTTTTAATTAACCAATTAAACCAACTAATTGAATATATCAGACTAGTGTTGAAAATATTCAGACTAGTGTTGAAAAGAGTCAATCATTATATCCACTAGTAAAACTTTGAATTTAACCAGAAAGGTAATAATACCTCTCTATCTCCTAAAGAAAGGAAAAAAAAAAAAAAAAGATTAAATGCCACTTTTTTATTTTTTTATTTTTTTATTTCTGAATTATGAAAAATATATTTTTTAGTATTTTTATCAATTAGTCTATCATATCTCTTCATATATGCTCATTTTTAAGTCTAAACTTATAATATATGCACATTTTAATTTTAAAGAATAAAAATGATATTTAACTTAAAAAAATACCGAACAGTTCCTAAGTTTCTCGTTCCTTAGTTAAGGGGCAAAACTTACATGTTGCTTCTTGTACTTCTTCTTCAATTTATCATTTTCAATCTCAAGTGTCTGCATGTTGAACTTCATTTGTTGTTCATTTTCCTGAATACATCATAGATGAACATATTATATGGTAAAATTTTAAAGAACAAAAGGAAAAATAAGCATTCAATAATTAGGCAAAAATGCTAAGTAAAAAAATCTCATATCAAAATATAAAGGAAATATGTTTAACTTAAATAAAAAATAATAAAAAAAGTATGATTTAAATATAAAAAAAGTTACCTTATTACTAATTAGTTTTATGTTAAAACTCTACCACATGTTTCCTTTCATATGTCAAAATTTCACAAAAAAAACTTATTATTTCTAAGTTCATCAAGTTCCTTTCATGAGTTTCAAAACTTAATTTCTACGAAAAATAAAAAATCTCTCTTTCAGGGGATTCATTTTCACACTTTAATTATCCATTTTTAACCTTAAGTATCTTCATATATTAGACTTCATTTGCTCTATACCTGTTGCTTCTTGTACTTCTTCAATTCGTCAAGTTCCCTTATTTGACTTTCAAACTTCTTGTTCACCGAAACGTTTTCTTGCCTTAGAGGTTCATTTTCATCCTCAACTGTTGTCAAATTCTAATTTCATATTTTGTTCATTTTCTTGAACATATACCATAATACAATTCCAGACTTCAATAACAAAACAAGAAAAGTAAGCTCTAGTAGAAAGGGACAATTTACTTACATGTTGCTTCTTGTACTTCTTCAATTTGTCAAGTTCCTTTAATAGAGTTTCTTTTTCCCTTTTTAGGGATTCATTTTCGGCTTGAACTGCCTCCAGGTCGACCTTCATTCGCTTTTGGTTTTCCTAAGCATGTATACCATATTACTCATACAGTCATACATCAAAAATCAAATGTCATATATTTTGGTTTGATGAAGTTTTTACTCCTTTGTCAAGCTATACAAATAAGATAAATTATATATAGAGAGAGGATAGTGTATGGTAGGTCAGGTAATTTTTCTAAATTTTTTTTAGAACACTTTTAAAAACATATTTTCTAATTAATATTTTCAAAAACTGACCATTAAATTAAAAGTTATATTTAAGTAAATCATGTATATCAATTATTATATTAATCTAATACTTACAAAACTTTTACTCAAAGAAACTCTTTTTACTAATATATGTTTAATGATATTAAATTTTTTTATAATCAATGAAATGAATAAGTCTATTAAAATAATTTGAAATTTGATATACATGATATATATGAATACAACTTTTAATTTAATAGTTGATTTTTAAAAATATTAATTAGAATGTAAGTTTTTAGATATGTCCTCCAAAAAAAATTTAACAGGACAGACCTACAAAACACTTTTGTTATATATATATATAATATTTATCTGCCTTACTTCTAAAAACTTAAGAGAAAAATCATTTAAAAACTTAAAAGAAAAATCATTTTAAAATTATATCATTTCAATAAACTCTCATTAAAAAATATTAAAATATCTTATTTTTAAAGCATAAATTAAATTATTTTTGGTCCTTTCGTGTGATTATTTTATTGAAATAATATAATTTTAAAATAATTTTTTTCTTAATTTTTAAGAGATAAGGTGAATAAACATTACCCTATATATATATAAAAAGAAAAGGAGGAAAAATTAGGTAAGTGCTACAAGCTATTCTCTAACTTTCTAATTTGTGAAAATTAATGGAAAGAAATAGTAATTCCTCATTTCTAATAATGTCCATCTAATTTAAAAATAAAAAAAGTGTCATGCAGCATGAATTATATAGAATTGTACAACTTAAATTATTAAATAAAAAGTGGGTCTTTTAATATTAATAATTATTTATCATCTAACAATTTTAATTTCACAGTTCAAACTATGAGACAAATTCTAATAACCCTCATATATATCAATCAATCTTAAAAACAACAAGTACAGAAACAAAAAAGGGTAAAGTGCATCCCAGTTTAAACTAATGGATAATAGGTTTTTCCTTTTTCCCAAAATAACAGAAGTGATAATGGTTTAAATGAGCTCGTCTTAGAGGAGAAATATTTTTATACAATGGCAGGATGCCCTGTCAGCGCGCTGTATTCTCGTTCAATAATATAACTACAAATTAGGAGTGAGGCTCATTTGTAATAAAAAAAAAAATTATTATATTTTATTGATTAATTTAGTACAAGTAGGGCCACACTTACTAATTTGTTGCTATATTATTGGACAACGATGCTGATAATTTTTTTATTAAAAAAAATACAATATTAAGTTAATACCTATTTAAAGAAAATCAAATTTAGTACTCAAACAAAACAAAGTGTGTTCTGCCTACTTTTCAATTTAAAGAAATGTGTAGATCACTGCAGCCACATGGTAATGCACAAGGATGCTGATAATTAATGACACTCCCTAGGTAGTTTAACACAATCTAAAACTTACTCATTAAAAAATTACCCTTTTAGTTTAAAATTAAAAGAAGAAACTTACATATTTTGAATGGTTATATAAACAGGTAAATGTCCGCTAATATTATGAATTAAACGCCCTATCAATTGTTTCCTTACCTTGATTTTCTCCCTATATGCTTTGTCGTGCTTTCTTTTTCTCGCCAGACGGTCAGCTGCAGTAATTTCCGCAGTATTTCTTCTTGAATGAGAATCTACAGAAGATATATCTGCGGGTTGAGGTTGACCTGAATGTTGTTGCCTAGTCGGCTCTGTTTCGGCTGCTGACTGATTGATTGCCGGTCGATTTTGCTCACCGCTTCGGTTCATGGAGTTACTACTCCGGAACAGACCTTGAAAAAATTGCTCTGCAGTATTTACTGTTTATAAATTAAGGACAAAATACTGTGAGGAGTTCAATCATATTAGCAGAAGAAGAACTAAAAATTCCTTCAACCTTAATGGAAGAAGAACATCCGAAGGATGAGGAGAAGCTCAAAGATTTATTCTTTTGAAAATTAATCAAAGCCACCATGTAAATAATTGAACACTTACAACTTGCATCGTTAGATTGCTTGTTTTCCTCATCTTCACCGCCTTGATAGGAATTAGGATTCCTTGTGTTCTCCTCCATAATTTACTTTTCTCTGTGGACGGTGGAGTTACAATGTAAAATGGGTATCGTCAGTGGTTGGGGCTCAGGGAATTAAATAAAAGGAGAAGAGAAGGGCAAAACCTACTTTGAGCCCCTCACCTTATCAAATTTGAACGTTTTAATCCATTATCTTATACTATGACACTTTTAGTTCTTCACCTTACTAGATTTGTAGGTTTTAACCCCTCACTTATTAAAATTGAAGAAAATAGCCTTTGTTTTATATTAACTATTAACTTTATTAGTTGAAAATATATTTTTATCAACTATTAATCAACTAATAACCAATTAACAGAATTAAAGAAATATTATAAAATTAATTCTGTTAATTTTGTTAGCTAAAAAAATGATTTTTGTCAGCTAACAGTCAACTAACAGTTAACTAATAGAGTTAATAGTCAGCTAATAAAACTAATAAAATATTATAAAATAATGATTATTTTCTTCAATTTTAATATATATGAGATTAAAAGTATCATAATATAAGATAAGGGATTAAAATCTACAAATCTAATAATATGAGAGGTTAAAAGTATCATAATATAAAATTATATGAGAAGTTAAAACTTTCAAACTTAACAAAATGAGGGGTTAAAAGCAGGTTTTTTGCCGTAGAAAAGATGCTGAAGGTGATGGGCATATTTTCCAATTTCAAGTAAAGAGAGGGTCTTATTAAAGATTTTCAAATCTCAGTGGGTTGACAAAAGAGAGTAATTAATTTAGCCACTTTATTATTATCAAAACGAAAAAAAAAAAAATTAGCCACTTTATGCGTCGCCTTCAAAACTGTCTTGCCTCGTCCGAGAGTGCTCCGTGACTTGCGATCGCTCGATCGATATTGCATTCTTCTTCTTTCTCCTGCGGGTCGGTCAATGTCAGTCAGTCTATTTTTTAATATAATTATAATAACAGTTACAATTATAAATTTATAAAATGATATATATATTTTTATATAATTAATTTTTTATTTAATAATATTATTTTCAATTAACTCATCCTTTAATCTTCTTTTAGTTGCTATGTAGATTCATTCATCGCAGCCGTTTAACTCGCACAACTGGGTTAACAATGGGTTTTGCCTACAAATGGATAGCTTGTTTTTGTTAAAAAAATCAAGGAATTCCAAAGAAGAAGAAAAGGGAATGGGAATCGAATTCACGTTAAAATGAAAATAACAAGCTTTTAAATAGGTTTTACAATATAACATTATCTAAAAAGATAATTAACTAATCTTATCTAATCTAATTTAAATGATAACAACCTAAAATAAATAAATAACTTAAACTTTCTAAATTATATAGATAATAACTAAAAACTAGGATCTAATTTCCAACAATCCCTCCTTTAAACTGAAAGTCTTCAGACTTCAGTTTAAAGAAATCTAAAAACACTATGTCTGTAATCTGGAATCTACAAACTCTCCCTCAAACTGAATTCTGCATGCTGCAAACACCAAGTCACTCTCTCAATCTTGAAAAAGTTGCTATTTTGAGGGGTTTTGTGAATATATCAGCCACTTGATCTCATGTTCTGCTATAAGTCAACTCAATTGTTCCATCTTTTACCAAGTTGCACAAGAAATGATACCTTACATGTATATGCTTGCTTTTCCCATGCAGAACTGGATTTTTAGAAAGCTTAATAATTGAACTGTTATCACAATAAATTGAAGTGGCCTCATGTTGATTCATTCTAAGTTCTTCCAGAATTCTTCTTAACCAAACAGCTTGACAAGCACATGAAGTTGCTGCCACATACCCTGCTTCTATTGTAGACAAAGTCACAATGGGTTGCTTCGTTGAAGACCATGAAACTGCACCAGATCCCAACATAAAAACGTACCCAAAAGTACTTTTTTTTGTCATCCATGTCTCCAACATAATCACTGTATGTAAAACCTGCGAAATCTATCTAGTCACCCTTCTTGTAAAATAGTCCAAAATCTACAGTTCCATGTAAATACCTAAGAATTCTTTTAGCAGTCTGCAAGTGCAACTCCTTTGGATGCTCCATATATCTGCTAATCAGACTTACACCATGCATTATATCTGGTCTTGTTGCTGTCAGATACATCATACTTCCAACAATCTGCTTATACAATTTGCCATCCACAAATCTGCCACCTGGATCTTTCATAAGCTTCACTTCTTTGTTAACTGGTGTAGTGACAGAATTACAATTCTTCATCTAAAATCTGTCCATAACTTCCTGCACATATTTTTTCTAACAAACAAAAATTTCAGAATCTGACTGTACTACTTTCAAACCAAGAAAATAATGCAACAAACCCAGATCTGTCATATCAAATTCAAGCTTCATAGATTGCTTGAACTTTTCCAACATGCCAAAATCATTCCCAGTATAAATTATATCATCAACACATAAGCCTACAATAATCAATTTACCTCCATCTCCAAATTTGATGTAAAGTGTAGGCTTATAAGGGCACTTTTGAAAACCTTCCTTCAGGAAATAAGAATCAATTCAACTATACCAAGCTCTAGGTGCTTGTTTTAGTCCATATAATGCTTTCTTTAATTTGTAAACCTTATGTTCAAAACCAAATTTCACATAACCAGGAGGTTGATCAACAAATACATGTTCTTGCAGATCTCCATGCAAGAAGGCTAATTTCACATCAAGCCGGTAGATCGGCCATGAGTTCTGTGCTGCCAATGCAATCACCAATCTGATGGTGTCCATCCTTGCAACTGGAGCAAAAACTTCTTAATAATCAATGCCAAACTCTTGCTTGTAACCTTTTGCCACCAAGCGAGCTTTGAATTTGTCAACCTTCCCATTTTCTTTGAGCTTTGTCTTGTAAATCCACTTAACCCCAATTGTCTTGTGCCCTTCTGGGAGATCTATCAACTCCCAAGTCTAGTTCCTTTCAATAGAACCAATTTCTTCTGCCATGGCTTTTTGCCACTTTTCTTCTTTAACAACCTCTTCATATGTCAAAGGATCACAATCTGCAAATAGAGCAAAATGAGTAACTGGAACATCATCTTGAGGTAGATCTGTTTACCTCATAATCCTTCAACCATACTGGTCTTCTCTTTTTGTGTTGAGATCGTGAACTAGTTCTAGATTTCCAGTTCTGGTGTTGTTGGCAGACTTCCTCTAGTATTGTGTTCTGCTACAGGCAGACTTTCCTCTTCTACCTTTCTTGAAGCCTTGAGGTCTGCTGAAGTTAAACCTCTATTCTGCTGCATCTGACCTCCAGATTTCTGCACAGTTAGATCTTCTCCATTTTCAAAATCTGCAAGAATTTGTCGCCCAGATTTTTCTGTCCAAGACGAAGTGCTTGCTTCATCAAACACTACATCACGACTAATGATGACCTTCTTGGTTATAGGATTGTATAATCTGTAAGCTTTGGACTGATCACTCACACCAAGGAAAATACACCTTCCCCCTTTGTCACCAAACTTACTCCTTTTTTGATTTGGCACATGTGCATATGCTATGCACCCAAAAATTTTGAAATAGTCAACAGCAGGTTTGCGTCCACTCCAAGCCTCTTCTGGCATAATATCTAGAAGTGGAGATGTGGGACTTCTGTTCAAGATATGAACACTCCAATTAACAGCTTCTGGCCAAAACTCCTTAGGCAAGCCGTTCTTTGATATCAGACTTCGCACCATATTTATGATTGTGTGATTCCTCCTTTCACATACACCACTCTGTTGAGGTGTATAGGCTACTGTGAGTTGCCTTTTAATACCATTAGACTCACAAAAACCTGCAAATTCCTTTACATTAAATTCACCACCACGATCTGTGCGAAGAACCTTTACAAATCTGCCAGCCTCATTCTCAGCCAAAACTTTGAAATTTTTAAAGGCTGTTAAGGCTTTTGACTTAGTCTGCAAAAAATACACCCATGTTTTGCAACTGTAATCATCAACAAAGGTAATAAAGTATTGTTTACCTCCATTGGATGTTGGATTTATGGGTCCACACAGATCAAAATGAACCAGACTTAGCACCCATTTGGCTCTCAAAGATCTGTCTTTAGGAAAGCTGTCACAGTGCTGTTTACTGACCACACAGATTTCACAAATTTCTGAAAGAAAATCAAAATGAGGAACACCATTTACCATCTTCTTCTAGTGCAAGGCCTTCAACCCACCAAAATAAAGATGACCATATCAGCAATGCCATAACCAAGCTGTGTCCTTCAATCTAGCAAATAAACATGACAGATGTACAGTCTACAAGTACAATGGAAACAACCTGTTTCCAGTCATCTTGACCTTTGCAATCAAGCCAAGCTTTGAATCACGAACTTGGCAAACTCCATCTTTAATCAGGATTTCATATCCTTTCTCCTGAAGCTATCCTAGACTAAGTAGATTTGACTTCAAATCTAGTACATACAGAACATTAACAATATTTTGAACTGAATTATCTTTTGCACGAATGGTTACCTTTCCCTTTCCCTTGACTACAACAGTAGAATTATCACCAAATTTCACCTTGTTTTCAAAATACTCATTCAGATCTAAAAACGCAAATTTGTCTCCACACATATGGTTGCTACAGCCAGTATCCAGATACCACACATTCTTCTTACTGACTTCTTTCGGATGATAGACCATGAATAGAAAGGCATCGTCATTCTTCTCATTGTGTTCTGCAAAGTTAGAACTTTCTTCTCTATTTAGATTAGCACGACACTTAGAACGATAATGGCCATACTTATGACATCTAAAGCATTCAACAGTTGCCTTTCCTGTAGATTTGGATCTGTTATCTGTAGTTTGATCATTTTTGTTCTGCCACCTTTTTTGATTTCCAGTGGCTGAACTTCCTTCTAGTCAGTCAGATCTCAGTCTGTCAGATCTTGATCTGCCTTTCTAGCTTTCGTTTCCTCGAGCTATAGCCCTTGAATTAATTGTGGTCTACAAGGTTTGCGTCTACGAAATCTGCACTGCTTGATCTTGCTTGCCTTGGTGGTTTATCTTCCACTCATAAACTAACAATGAGTTCTGCAACTCATCAAGGGAAAGTGCCTCAATATCATTTGACTCTTCAATTGAACAGACAACATAACTGAATTTTGTTGTCATAGACCGAAGAATTTTCTCAACTATGGCAACATCTTCCAGATTTTCACCATGGATCCTCATCTTGTTTTCAATTTCCATCATCCTTGAAAAATAATCATCTATAGATTCAGCAATCTACATCTGCAGACTTTTGAATTCTACCAGCAAAGCTTAGCGCTGTTGCCGCTTTGCTCTTTCATTCCCTTGGTACTTCTTCTTCATGGAATCCCAAATAGTCTTGGAAGTAGACTTGTTAAGAATTGTTTCCAAGATAGCCCGATCTATAGCTTGGAACAAATAGTTCTTAACCTTGAGATTCTTCAACTTTTCCTTCTCAATTTCTGCCCTTTGTGCAGCATCTGCACCTGCCGTTGGTTCTGGAACACCAACTTCAACAACTGTCCAATACTCTTTGGACCAAAGAAAATTCTCCATCAACATATTCCAATGGTCATAATGATGACTATCAAAACAAGGGATTGAGGGCTAATCATAATTTTCAGAAGCCATGGAATCTGCCGGGAATAGGCTCTGATACCAAATATTAAAAAATCAAGGAATTCTAAAAAAGAAGAAAATGGAATGAGAATCAAATTCACGTTAAAATGAAAATAACTAGCCTTTAAATAACCTTTACAAGATAACATTATCTAAAATGATAACTAACTAATCTTATCTAATTTAATTTAAATGATAACAACCTAAAACAAATAAATAACTTAAACTTTCTAAATTATAAAGATAATAACTAAAAACTAGGATCTAATTTCCAACTATTTTTCTATCCTTCATCGCTTCCATTGAAATCAGTAGCATTTGCCTAAGTTCTCCATTGACTTTTTCTCTCGGATTGTGGATGGCCATCAAAGGTTGTTAGGACATAGGGACGCCTTGGAAATAATAGTAAATAAACGGAGACCTGACCTTTCGTGAGCGGTGATTCGATCGACAGTGCATTCTCTATGATTTCATCTCTCAATTATTGGTTCGTTGTTACAAAATTTTTTTATACATTTAAAGGTTTGATATTTAATAATACAAAAATTTTAATTCTTACTTTTAACTTTAAATTGTTACAAAATTTTTTTATACATTTAAAGGTTTGATATTTAATAATACAAAAATTTTAATTTGAACTTTTAACTTTAAATTATATCATTTTATTTAATTAATATTTAATTTAAAATTTTATTTTATTAAATATTAATATTTAGTTAACGATTTAAATAATTTAGTGATTATTTCCTTCCATTAAAAGTAAGAGATATTGAGTTCAATTCGCATGACATGCGAATGAAATAAGATAAAAAATGAAAAATAATTGCACTTCATTATACAATTAAGATAAAAAAAATTACTATTTGAGTTTGAAAACTAATTGAATTTTTAAATTTTGAATTGAAATTTTATTTTTTAAATATAAGTTACGACTTTATCTTTTTTTAATAAT